TGACGGTAAAATACGATTCCTTTTCTTTGTTTTGATTATCTCCATATATGAGAATGTCCACTCGACATCTGCATTACCATGTGGCAAATGTTAAAATTATTAGACATACTTTGGAAATACACTTCACAGGTTGTGTTCTTACCACCAACTACCATGTATACGTGTCTCCGTTGAATAAGAAATACCGTCCGGTTGTTACCACTGTCGATTTTAAAGATATCTGTATTTAGATTTAGTTACTAACTGCACAATTTTTTTTTCTGGTAAAAATATCCATCATGTATGTGTACCTAAATGCAAAATTCCGCTAATTTTAACAAAAAATCCAATTCCGCCGCTACGCCGCTACCACTTGAAAATTCCGCTACCAGTAGCGGAATTCCGCTACTTCTGGCAACACTGTATAGAAAGTGTGTCTTCGCATTGCTATGCAGACATCCTTAGCCTTACTCATTTAGAATTTAGATTAATTATCGCAACGACACCATCATAACATTTATAAGATTAATGGAATATTTAAGAATGCTTTAATCTTCAGATATTTACTCAATGTTCGACTATATTTATAGTTGAGCTGTCATTACAGAATTACATAATATTAAACCGAAAAGGCGATTATTTTTAAAAACTGTACAATCCTATATCTTGTTCTGTTTGAATGACTGATTATAAAAATGTATTTTTTCACTACTAAACTGAGAAATCATTATTATTGACTGCAATCCTCTATTGCGAAGTAGTTTTTTTTATCTCTAGCTGAATAATAATAAAAAGCGTGTAGGTAAACGAATCTCACTTAAAATTGTACTACTACTATTCGTCATTTGTTTGTCAGGGCGGTCCGTAGGACCTTTGCCATTAGTCACTGTCTAATGTTCGTTAGTCGAATCTGTCAGTCCTGGTTGCCCAGAAACCAGACAAAGTCAAGGAATTAAAATTGTATTCTGCAAACTTCATTATGACGGTTTTGACATCTAAACTTTATATTTCAGAATATCTGAAAACTGTTAAGAAATGTCAATTATAGCTCATCATGTAGCTATTCTTTTTGAATACCTTAATAGTCGGCATAATGTTGGAAAACGTGTCATGTGAACAGTAGGTAAACACAACCAACAAACATCTCCACCGTACTCTCCTTTAAAATGGTTTTCTGGATCTTACATTCAGCACTCCCCATTTTACAAAAGCCAATTAGAAATTTCAAAGTATTTGTGAAATAAGTTGGAAACGTCATGATTGTGATAAAATTGAATGTTTAATGATAAAAGGTGTTCCAAAATTCACGCAAGGTGTGAATTGAAATCAGAATACAGTTTGTCTCCTTTTGATTGCTATTTTTTTTAGAATCATAAGTACACAATATAGGGTTGTTTGTTTTTTGTTAGGAACTTTTGGAGGAAAAGAAATTATGTTGAATTCTAGTAAACCACAACTTGAGAGAAAGGAAAAATGGGCGCCGGCGTGAATCAAACCCGCATCTTCTCCGTGGAACCGATCTAACCAACTAGTCTACAACACCAGCTACCAATCAACTTTCACTGCCAACTGCTAAAGCCAAATTCAATCCTACTCACGTCACTGTTCTTGTGTTCTTTCAAGCTGCTTGTTGCCCCGTCTGGCGGCGTTCAAGTGAAAAGAAACCGGATTGGTAAGGTATCTCCAATCGCTTTCCAGTTGCACCACGCCGTCTCGTGGTCACTTACCACGCTACCTCCGTGCGAGGACGAACACCTGTATACGATTTTTCGGCGTAGGTAGGATTGAATTTGCATCTAGTCAACCCTTTATGTTGGTTGGCAGCTGGTGCTGAAGACTAATTGGTTAGGTCGGCTCCAGGGAATGGAGGAGATGCGGGTTCGAATCTCGTGGGCGGCCATTTTTCCTTTCTCTCAAGTTTTTGTTTACTAAAACAACTGTTGCTTACGCGCTCATCCGTAAAATCGTATACAGATTTTTTGCATTTGTTTACTAAGTCTTTGGAAAACAAAAAATCACTCCGCAATTATTTAGAAATAAAGCACGTAATTGAAAAACGCATAGTCAGTCATTGAATGCACGCGAACATGGAAATCCTATCATTAAAATAAGCTTTATGCGATTATCAACGCATTTATTTAGAATTTTGACTCGCATTGTATCGTGTTATATTGTGTATACGAGGTCTGTAAAGTAACTGGTGAAACTTTTTTTGTTTTTTTTTTATTCAAATACAATGACAATTTTATATTGTCACCCTCAAAATAACTTCCCTTCTGAAGCCACAAAGCTCTGAAGACGGTTCTTCCACTTCTCATGGCAGTGCTGGAACTTCGATACTGGAATAGCCTTCAGCTGGTCGGCTACATCCGTTTGAATGTTTTCGACTGAGTTTCCTTGAGGTGATTTTCCGACTTCGGGAAGAGAAAAAAGTCACAAGGACTCAAGTCACGCGACCAAGTACGCTGGGGACCGACAGGAATGTTTTTACTGGCGAAAAACCCGGTTATTGACATTGATCTGATGACCGGTGGTGTGTCACATTTAACTCTTCCCTGATCATTCCGACTGTCAACCGATGATCTGAACGCACAAGATCCCGGATTCTGTCGATATTTTCATCGGTTCTTGAAGATAAAGACTTCGTGGTTCATCTTCTGAAAATGCCTTAAACCACCAAAAACCCTGGGACAAAACACATCCCAGTAGGCTACTTTAGCATGAGTTTCAGCTGCACTGTGCATTTTGTGTCTGAAGCAAAACCTGATAGCACACCGTTGCTTGAAATTGATGTCACTCATTTTTAGAACACAATAGACAAAACTGTTTCACAAAAAAAAATCGCTACGGACAGCCAAATGACTCGAGCGAGCTCAAACTTGTACTGAACGCGGATCACATGTTCCCCTTTCTCCCTCTAAGCCCGGCGCCTCCAGTGTTGCCAGATAGAACGCTACGTTGTCAGTCTCATCACTTAATTTACAGACCTCGTATATATCGTTGTTGGTCAGAGCCGTCCTTGGGACCTTTTCTCTTGGTTAAAGTTCACAGTTCAGTTGGTTTATCAGGTCTGGTTGCTCGGAAACCAAACAGTCAGGGATAAATGAAAGAGGGATGCGGGAGAGAAAAGAAAAGGAACTATTCCTGTTAAAGAGAGAGAAGTTCATTGCTAAATAGAAAGTTAGTTTTAGGGTTCGTTGTATATTAAAAAATACAATTTTGTTCGACCGGCGATCTTGTGTACATGCGAACAGTTTGTTGCTTTGCGATTGCGCTTGGTAATATACTATTCCACCTTGAAGTCCAGGAAACGATCAAGCAGGAGTGAACTAAATCACATACATAGTGATATTAAAACCCCATTGAAAACAAAATTAAATCGTAATCATAGTTCTTGCTCAAGACAACAATGATAACGTGATTACCCCATACAACTTTAAAACGTTATTTGCGTCTGTTCCCTGATGCCATTTACCGACGCTGGAGTTTCCCTTTAGGGGCAGCTCTCAAATGCAGTCCTATATGTTTGTTTATTTTTGTATGATAAAAACACGCCTGGGTTGGTTTACAAATATCTGATCATGTTTACGTCTTTATGAACAACAGAGGCCGCCCGTGTGCTAAGCTTTAGCGGTATGGGCAGAAGTTCGTTTTTTTTGTGAAAAATATTCAAGTAATTTTTTTACTTGTACAAAATTTTAACAATCAATTCATCAGGTCTTCCGAAGACCATCTTTTGTGTCATTCTAGTTCAGAAAGTTAGAATCTCTTATGGCATCATCCTATAAATCCTAGCAACATTTTATTTCACAGAGCACATGGAGGTGAAAGCTAGTTCTTAGGGAACAGAGAGAATGAAACTTTAAAAAAATATTTTTACGCAAAAAGGTACATGATAGAGAACGTACAAAATTAATTCCAATGCTAAAGTTTTAGCCCTTGAAATTCCTCATGAGACAGCTTTTAATGTGTAACTTATCATTAATAAGTATTGAACATATGGGTAGTTTCAAATTCGACCCACAGCATTGGAATGTCGAAAAGGACAAAAGATACGAGATCAGTTAAACTGGGGAAAAACTATTTACCTGGGCAAAATTGCAATATGGCGTCCATAAGGAAGAATAATCTTTATGATGGGGGTAAGAGACGATCCGTCGGATTTTTTTATGCTGAAGCAAACCTAAGGGTCAAGGAGCTACCCAATTTTTACAAAGAGGTAAGAGATATTTGATTGACCCCAGTGCCTAAGGGTATCAGAACTGGGAAAAACATCCTCGGGCATATTGTTCCATTATCTCGGCACCCCAAGGATAGAAGACCAAGGAACTATCGTACCAATCAGTTCTAGGTTTACGGATAATGAGCAGCGGAAGTTTGGCGGGTTCGACTGGGAAGCCTAATGCGTGGCATCATCGTGGCTCAAAGTGTTGAGGAGCAAAGTTCGTTGGCATATTGTTAAAAGTTAGGGGGTTAGGAAATTTCAATTTGCCTCCAATGTAGGACAAAAGGTGTAAAACATAAAAGCGATTTTCAGACAATTTGATCCTCTATCCATATTAATACTCTTGCTCTCTCTCATTTACGATATAGTATGAGCTGCTTTCCTGGTATCAATACTTACTCCTAGTTATTTCCCAAGTTTGATCATTTTAATAAACTTTTTAAGCACAAATCTTTCTTGCGGAATCTGCGCAGTCGTGCATACACCTTCTTTTTCGTGGAAATACTCATACGTAAAACGCAATATTTTTTCGTAAATATAGGCGACTTGACAGATAACGATTTGGAAACTAATTCAAGGACATGTGAAGGATTTCACATCTCAGAAAATGGGTCTCTTTCAACTAAGGACAGCTATAAACCGCGGATCTAGATAACATTTTACACTTAAATGAACATTTTTAAATCTAATTGGATTTACTATCTAAAACCATTCAATCGCTTCTGCCCGTTACCCGCGACGGTATATTGACCGTACACTTCAGCGGTCTTATAATGCGATATATTCGTATGTTCAGCGAACTGCCAGATGACCGATCGCCAGCTGTGCTGCTTCTTGCCGTTACCAGGTTGCCATCGACACCGGTACCATCCAGAAGAAGGTTACAAGATAAAACTAACACCAGGAGACCATCTTGCGAGAGAATTGAACACAAACCTGACCAAAGCGATCGGATGGGTCAGACTCGAGATGTCCAAAGTGAGGACCTCCTGCAGGATGGAGTGCGATCATCAGCAGATGCAGAGCAGAAATGTGCAACATCTGAAAAGATTCAACATAGAGAAACCAAATGTTCCTATAACAATAACTTATTAAATGGAGGAATTAAACAGGAACAAGTAGAAGAACTACATATTGTACAAGAAAAAGAAATTAGTCACAAGAAAGACTTGCATATAAAAAATATACATAATTTTCTTTTCGAGCCTGAATGCAATTCGCTCGCAAAGGAACCTGCATCTGGAAAACCTACTTTCTCAAGGTGTGTTGGTGAGAAAAAGAGTTACCAGTCTCTCCAAAGAAGCGATTCGCAGATGAGCAGATCTGTAGGGAGGGTTGTGCGAAAGAATTCGAATAAATTGCTGAGAAGAAATTCGTCAAGGCGATCTGAGGTTAAGATGTTGCAGGTATTGGTTGAGTTTTGTGACTTGTGAAAATTGTTCGCTACTTTGACGTGTGGTGTGTACTAACTCTTTTTTAATTTGATCCATCGGCTTTATTTGCTTTTATCATTAGTTGTTTTTTAAGGAAGTGGGGGAATAAACTGCTACAAAAAAATTGATGAGTGGACTGAATATATGATTCGAATTTGCCAGGACTTTACTTTACCTGTTACTGGAACAATCATCAAAAACATTGTTCCAATCTAATCAGCACGATGAGAAGGTCGGTGTTGTATCCTAAACGACTGACAGTTAATAAAAGCTGTACTGTTCCCTGTTGGTATGATAAGTGTTAACTGCTTCCAAGCTGGCATCAATGATTCCATGGATTATATAGGTTAATTTTATGCGGCTAGTAAATAACGTAAATAACATCTTCCCGGAGATTAATGATCTGTGTGTTTAACATGAATTGTAATCTGAACGTGCGCATAACATGTCGTTTAACTATGTAAATATAGTAAACTGCATGCATTCATGCATCCGAAATATATTCAACAAATCAAGCCTTAATTCAAATGACCGCAGTACTATGACAGCAGATATTGAAGCACTAAGGTTGTTAGATGTATCACACACATGTCACATTTATAGCAGTTCACAGACTTTGCTTGAAGACATATATATATATAACTTGAGACGTGGTCATTGTCGTCTAGACCAGTTAGGAGACAAATAAAGCTTCCGCCTTTTGTTGGGTACTTCGACGAAATTCAAGCAATGAGGACTCTTTATACTTTATTAGTCTCTAGCTTCCAAGAAACTTTGCCATCTTCATCAGGAGCTGCAATAACATTGAGAAGAAATAGTAACTATTGTGCAAAATGATTTATAAATTAACTAACAGTAGTATGTGCGATTGTTACTAAATGTTATTAACGTTTAAGTTGAGCGAAACAACCAGTAACCTGGTGAAAGCTGGATACATGGTACATTTGTCAAAATTAATATAAAATACACACAGCTGTATGTCAGGAACAAATTAAAACGGATTAAAAATATTTAGGACGAAAGTTAAAATTACATCGTGAACCACCTGATGCTGCACAGGATCATAAGTAGGATGAAACATTTGACAGATAACAGAAGGGTAGTGGTGTCAGTGTCGATGGATGGAACGAAAATTTTTGTAAAGTTTGTGCTATGTTGCCAAATCATTTCAGATGGTGTGATTTATCCAGATATGTTAAATAAGAACAGGTTACTGGGTGTTTTCCTTCCTCAACTTAAACGTTAATAACATTTAGCAACAATCTCACATACTACTGTAAGTTAATTTAAAACTATTTTGCACAATAGTTGCTATTTCTTCTCAATGTTATTGCAGCTGCTGATGAAGATGGCAAAGCCCATTGAAAGTTAGAGACTAATAAAGTATAAAGAGTCCTCATTGCTTGAATTTTGTCGAAGTACCCAACAAAAAGGGAAGCTTTATTTTTCACCTATATGTATATATATATATATATATATATATATATATATATATATATATATATATATATATTCATTTAAATGGCTGTGTATATGAGGATTGAGGCAGCACGAAGATTTGTTTACTTTTTGTCATTTTGTTTCAAACATTATATTATATACTGAGTTACAAAAAAAGGTAAAGACTTACGTATGTTTATTAGAATTCAAGAATTTTTTACATATCGATTTATCTTGCCATCAACAACAAGTGATAAAATGGTCAGGCTTTCCTGTTAAGTTTTTGTGGTGGCTGCGTGTATTGTTTGGTGATAAAGAAGCATTCAGTTTTCGTACATTTACAGTGTCAGTTAAATGTTAAATTGCGTGTAGCTTAATGAGAAGCCTTTTTGTGATTGCTCAAAATGCCTAGAGTGCGTAGAATTCGCAGGGTGTCCCAGCTAAGTGACTGAGAGGGGTCGAATTGTCGGGTTGCGTGAAGTCGGTCCATCGACAGGAGGACCAACAGATCTTTACGCAGTACACTGCAGTGTGAACGAGCTTGGACTCAGGAAGGCCGAGGACAGCGACCGAGGGGTTCTAGACGTCCCAGGAGAACCAGCTTCTGCAGTCAGTTGACGAATCAAGCTGAACATTTAATCATTTTACTAGCAAGGGACACTGAACATATGCCAAAAATTATTAAAATCGGATAAACATACGTAGGTGTTTTTCTTTTTTTGTCACTTAGTATAGTTATAGATATTAGAACAAATGTTAGTGACGATAGGTAGAAATAATGATATAGAAATATTTTCAAAGAAACCTGTTGTTTTTTTGTAAATACAAAGATTTATTGGCAATGCACATCAAGCTTTTTTTGATGCTAATTCAGCATGTTTGGCTTTACAAATTCGCTATTTAGTTCTAGAAAGTATTTTCACTGGTTTGCAAAATTAAGATTTCCTTAACAGGTCAAGAATTCGTATATTATGCTGTTTGTTGATTTAATTTATGGCGTATTATCTGGCGAATAGTTGACATTATTTTCTAAAAGATCGCGACACTCATATTTCAACCATTATTATAAAATGGAATAAGAATATAAGTAACATAATTCATTCAGCACTTTTTTTAAATTTAACTTCACTTATTTTAATGTCAATTTGGTTTAATTTAAATTTCATGGGAATTGTTATCGAAGTAACCATATATTTTTCCACCCAAGAAAGAAATTTCATCTGTTTTTATTTTAGATAAATTCTGGTCGATAAGAGAGGCATTCACGGGGCCAACTTTTGTAGGTGATATACAAGTGCAGTTTTTAAATTCGTTACAAAGTACTGGGCTTTCGAGAAACTTTTGTATAGCTATGAACTTCACCCCTTATTAAAAATTAGGAATATCGAGGATCCCTTTTTCGGTATTAACTATATACATTTTATGTATCTGTTTCATATTGTGAATTTTGCCCAACGCTGTGCGGCCTATTGGCCTTCTGGAATGACTGTCAACAGTCAAGTAACGTTTCTCTTCTTGCTATTCTGATGCTATCACGATAATTCCTGGTTTTGTATCAACAATGAAATGATAGCCAACAAAAAATAGTTCAACTGTTGGGAACAGTAGGTATAGTCACACGAACCTTATTCAAGTCGCAATATGGGATTTGTATCAAGCGCAACAAAGGTTTTGCTGAATTCTGTCAAATAACAGGACCTTTTAGCTGCTCACTCGTTTGAAGCTAGCAATGCTATCAGAATTAATGTTTATTTCTGTGTAAAATAAGTATAGTTTAAAAATAATAAGAACCTTCATTGTTGGTATTTCGTGAGTGCACTCTAGTTTCCTGAAAAAAGCATATTCCTCTGGATAACAACCATACATATACAGTATGTTACAACGAGTATCACACAGCTGGGGCAATGATGTTTCCGGTCTGAATGGTGGCTACTTTGTATGATTTGGCAAATCACAGATAAGGCGTCGAGATACAGGTCGAATCTCTTTTATTAGACAGGCCAATTTTGCCATTTATACTACCTATGATGACCGGCTGTGCAATACTGGTGGTAACATACGTATATGAAGGGTCATTTTACATTCACTAGTACTAATCCAATATAATCTAAAACGAAGGATTTCACAATAAAAAGATAATCTGGCCGCAAAGCGTTAATTGATTGATTCATAGTAAAATTGCATAAAAAGTGAATTGAGGGGACACTGTAAAAAGAATTTAAATTTATAAACTAGCATCTTTTATGTAAGTACAGAAATCTACATTCAGAATTCAGATTATTCTGAGAATGTATGGGTCTTTTTATTTGTTTATTTTTTCGGGTCATACGTACTGGTTGTTGTAAACGCATAAATACTGATTTGGGACCTTGACCCTTTAATAAACCATTCATAAGTTATATACAAGGTGTCCTAAAAGTATGGACACACCCAAATATCTCGAAAACTAAGGATGCTAGAAAAAACTTAAATACAAGAGTTTCAGGAATGTAATAGGAGGAACCCTCATGCTCAAGTCAAAAAATTTGTTGTCTTGCCTTTCCTAGCGGAACACCAAATTTCAACCTGTCTCGCCTGTCATTAGCATGTCTTACCTAAATATCTTGAAGAATCAGTCCAAGATCTCTTTTCACTTGCAAAGATTATCGGTCGCTTTAGTCTAATGCACGAAAATAGGTCATTTGACATTGAAATAACCTCTAAGTGTGATTTTACCTCCGTTAATTAAACATTTGAACATGAGATTTTTCTGCATTTTCAGCGCTGGGATCAAAATTGAGGGTTGCCACGAGAGACAATTAATTTGACCTTGAGTCGACCCTCAAGGTCACAATGTCTGTCACCATCAGAAGTGCTGTTAGGTGTCCTGTAATTTTCTTCAAAGTTCTTATTTAATTTAATATTCGTCCCTTTCCAGCTATCCGTTGCTGGATATTCAGGGTTATTCACAAGCCGTTACCAAAAATAAAACATCATATACAGGTCCGCGTTTTAAGCGGGTCTTCTATGTAACATTTTTTCCTCGAGGGCTTCATTAAAGAGATACGGGGTGTTTAAAAATAAAAAACATTTTTTTTAATATCTTCAAAACCGTCAACTGGAATAAACTAAAATTTGGTATGTGCATTTACCTTAGTATTGTCCACATTCAGAAGTCTTTACTCAAAATTAACGAACACCAGTGGCGGAGATATAGGGTATTAGTGGTATTATTTTTCCAAATAAAAATAGTACGCCACTGTTTTTTCTGGAAACGCGCAATGTTTCGAATTTTACCTTCAATTTTCTACAAACAATAACTCTTGTTTTTTTCCTAGACTGCATTGTTTTCGTAAAAATAAAAAATAAAAACAAATTAGTAAAAACCTTTGGGTCAGGTTGGCGTCTGTTAGGAGATCTACGTTGATACTCCCGAAAAGCCGCTAAAGAATTTCCAATACAGAACCCGTACACAAAAACAATATCGGCGATCTCATCATTACTATATTCCATTTCACAACACTCAAAAATGGAAAAAACGAAACTTTTGATTTGACTTTTACAAAAAAAAAAAAGATGGTAGTAGTAACGATAACAACTGTATAACACACAACTTTGACAAACTATCTTCCAAGAAACGTCAAGTAGGTATCAAGGCCTCCTATTTTATTTTGAAACTAATTGTATCTCGGCTCTTCATGAATGATCTAATTTGTTTTATTTTTATTTTTACGAAAACAGTGCACTCTAGGACAAAAACACAAGAGAAAACTGAAGGTATAATTTGAAAAACTGCGCGTTTCGAAAAAAACACGGACCTGTGTATGATGCTTCATTTTTGGTCACGACTTGTGAATCACCCTTTATATACAATTGAGCTTGAAATAACCTTTAGATGTAAGTTCCTATGACATTTAGACCGGTGAAAAGGATTTTTTTTTAGCTTTCTATTTCTGCAATAAAAAATGGGGGTTCCTGTTAAGAAAAATTAACTTGCCTTTAAAATGACCTTCAAGATGAAAGGCAACATCAAATCCAAGGTCACTATTAGATGGGCATTTTATTTCCTAAAACTTATGTATCTAAACTTTTTTTTTGCACCCCTAATTCCCGAGATATTTGGGTGTGTCCATACATATGAGACTACCACTTATGGAAACTATTGGTATTTATCAATAGTATTGCTTTGAAAGCATGATCTTTTGATATAATCTATAAAATATAAATGATACTCATGCAAACCAGTGATATAATCATGACAACATAAACAAATATTCTATAAGTGGTCCTTTATATGATCGAAAGGTAAAACCTTCAACTGGCGGTGACATCACGTCGGCAAAATGCCCCGCTACCGATGCTTCTGACTTATCGAGTTCTGCGTCTGCCTTCGACATGGACGCTATGGAGAGATCCGTGGACTCCATTGGGACCTGTTCCCTGGATGCGAATGCGTCAGCTGATCTCAGTAACGCAGGTCAGTTGTCAGTTCTGTGTGTATGTGTGTGAATTTTTCGGTTTGATTGCTTGCTTTTCTTTTGTGTTTCTTATTCAGGTGAACGATTTTGAAAAAAATATGTGCAATGTAAATTACAGCTTGCAATTTGATTTTACACTCGATAATCATAGTGAGCCTATTGAGGATACGGCAGAGGTAAACCGTTTTCTGTCAGAGGATAGTGTCAGTAAGCACTGCGACCTGTTGCTTGAATGTGCCCAATATTTACAAAAAAAAAATGAAACAATTTTTTCTACTATTTGGTAATAATATGCATAATAATACTTATTATCTACAACACTAAACTTGGTTGATTTTCGTGTATCTGTTTTTTGAGAAAACTAGTGAGTTGTGCAGTGATAGGTCGTTATCTCTATTTGGTAATGATATGCACAATAATAATAATAATTAAAAAACTATTTTTTTAGACATTTTGAGTCTTTTACGTGTAGTTGTGGAAAGGACAATACGATAGAGTAGGCTGTATACTTGAAAATCAGAATATTAGCGACAGTGTAGTGCAGAATAAAAAGATCAACATGCTTTCAATTATTATTTCTGTTTTACAATTATTACTTGATTGCTTATTGATCTAATAATTTTTTTTTCAAACGTATTGCTCTATGATTATGGCTCATTATACTGCATATACAATATAATACAGGTTTGCAAAATGAGGTTGTCATTAGTTTATAAAATCAGCTTCGGTTAGTGAAATTAAGGCAATCATCTGGTAAAAAATCTTCAGGACATTAAAATTTAGAGACAGTGATTCACGCTTTATCTGTTTCTAAAGTATAATTAATTTTGGATTTTTTCATTTTGGCTTTAGTTTGGCTTAACTAGTGGGGATGATTCCTTCCGTTCTGTATTTATACCAAGAACCTTCATGCAAGTGTTTGTATGTTTCATACATTTATTCATATTTGTTTGCACTGGTGTATAATGTAAGTGGATCCCTCATGTCATTTTACATTTTTATAGTGTCATTATTGCAAATTTCCTTGATTGTCATTACAAAGTAGGTTAATTTCCAAAAATAGGTGATTTTGTAGAAAAACACCATATAGTCGGAATTCTCAGCATAATCTTTTTCTTGAACGTAAATATGTGGTCCCCATCTAGAGATAAAAAAATCTTTTGTAACTTATTTATTAAATACTTGTGGAAAAAAACACTTTTCCGCGCATATTCGAAAAACTAAAATAATGACATCGTCATCTATAGAAGATTGATAGGGAATGAATAGCTTCAAAATTTTGAAAATCTGTTGAGCCTTTTCTTTTAATTAAGGGCTATTAATTATTAGCTTATGTTTCTGATTTGCTGTTACAATTTTTCACATTACAAATTATCCCTGCTTCTAATTGAACATATATGGTTTCACTTTGAAGGTACATATATTTATTCCTTTTAGACTTTCCATATTAAACCCTACTAATTTTATATTATAACTGAGACTTTGAGTACCGATGAGATGTCCTCGCATCATCGACGTTTAGGCAACCAAAATTACGCGGCCGTGTATGGAGCGCCCTCGAGAGCGGGAAGAATTAACCGCCATCGAGCACGATCGAACGTCATCTAGCAAGATTCGAGGACGGCTCGAGTTCTGTCTCGAAAAAATAGGCGCTACGACGGCAGAATGGGACAGTCGGTCAGTAGAGTCTACGAATCATCAACAGCGCAAGACGCGATAGTCCAGTCGACATGGTTATAAATTTGTAATAAATTAATTGCAAATGTTATTATAAATTATCTCTACTATCCCTACTAATATTTTAAATTAGAAAGTTTGGATGTTTTTTACTCAAGCACGCCAAAATTGCTGAGTCTAGATAAAATTAAATCCAGAGACAGATTATAGTCTGGTATAGCGCATAGATTACTTTCTATCCCGGGAAATAACTGTGCCGCACAGGCTGTAAGATACTTCACACTTCACGTATTGATTGTTGTTACTTTGAATACTCCATTTCTTTCTCCGAAATATGTCTACTTCATACTAAAGCAAAAAAAAATACCTATACTAATTACCCTACTTCCACGCGGGTTGAGCCACGGGCTTAGGCTAGTACTTCATAGTTTTGTAAATGTATGCGAAAAAGTGATTTTTAAAATATACTTAGCAAATTTTTTGTGTATAGAAGTAGGGCCTTTCCATGTACCCTAAAGAATATGATCCGTCTGTACAATTTTTAGAAAAAAGATGTACATATTTCCATTATAAATATTTTGTTTTGCCTCATGCCTCGTTTAAACATGATATTTTCTCTGAAACTGAAGTAAAATTACAGTACAGGTTTTTACACATTGCCATTTTTGAGATATTATATTATTTTTACATGAAACACCTTGATGTTAGATGCTCGTATATAAAATAATTTGCTCCGATGTAGACTTGAAATTATTTGTTACAAAATAACATACTAAGATGGGAAATTCCGTTCAGCTCATTAGTTGTTTTATATAAAAATGCTCCTGCAGACTAGTATGCAAATTTCATTTCACGTGAAATATAAAATATTAATACGGGGCCAATTAATCGACTTGTTATTGATTCCTCTCATTGATTACATAGTATGAATCAAAACTTACCGACTGGGATAGTTAGGTCGCGAGGAATTTCGGACTTAGGGGTAACACCACTGCAATGTCTAAAAAAGTGATTTTTTGTGGAGGAAGTTATTGGTCTCATAGTTAGGTAACATAGCAGTGTATATTAACTTATTTGATATTGTAAAAATTCAAATGAAAAGAGTGACAATTGTTTGAGTTATTCTTCCATGATCATTTTCTTTTTTAAATATATGTTTAATAACCTCTTCCAATGTTTGGGGCTGGTAATTTTTCTACCTCAGTGAAACTTCTATAATTTATCCTATTATTGCTCCTTAAATCTATTGTGTTCTATCTGTTCAATACCAACTTAAAAAAAATGTAAAGGGCTCAGAAATCCTCAGAAAGGCAATATTTTATTATATGAGAACAAAAGAATTACGTGGCATTTATAATTAACTAGTGATAATATTAAAGATTAGAACATACAAAACTTTTGCTCTGTTAACCAAAAAAGACATTTTAAGGGACCCAGAGACATATCCCAGCCATTCCACACAAAACAATGTCTTTGATGGCGAAAACGAACATGAGACCGAAAAATTCACATTATCGTATGGACGCTAGACGAGACAAAGAAGGATGTTATAGACCATCGATAGATTGTGTCTTGAGACCGTCTCCAGACTGCCTATAGACAAATTGCGCAACGGGGTCTACTAGTGTGTACTAAGCTTAAGGATTAATACTCTGAACTACCCGTTAAACAAATCAAGTAATTGGTGTAAATACTGACACAATCAAGCACTTCTATTATATCAGCAGGTGATAGAAATATCAATAGGTATAGTCACTTATTTTTAGAAATTCAATATCGATGTTACAGTTATTCTTCAGACTTTCGTTGTCGAACTTAGATTTATGGCATAGTTGATGTTTTCTCAGTTTTCGAATCGGTGTTGATCGCATGTTTTTACATTTTTATGTTGTAAATCTTTGGAAAAAACTGTATGGGTTAGATCGTAATTATTTTGATAATGTATGTTGTACGAAACAAGAACAGGAATACAGGGCTGTACATATTCACGTGTAGTACAGAAGCTCTGTGACTTAAACGAATTCCAATATAGCAACATAAATAGGAACATACGCGGGAAGAAATGCAGTACGTGTGCTATTGACTTTGAGCATGTATCGCCGCATTTTCTGGACAGGCTACAGGCGCACCGCTAAGCAAATCTCATAAATGTATATTTCCAATGTAGGCGTTCATCTAACATATTCTAATCATATTAGCAAATTTCCCCAAAATCAGGTTTTATTGGTGCAAGTTGTTCAAGGGCGTATTTTAAACATGGACGCATAAAATGGTTACCCCAATTTTTGTGGGAAAACTTTTCATTTGACAACAAAGAATGAGAAAGCGTGTTTTTTGGGATTCAATCGAAAGTGTTGACAGGAACGAAAAAACTTTTTATGTAATATTTTTAGGTATTTTTGAGACCTATAGAATGAGTCCACACGTGAAAAGATCCGACTAATAGCAAAAATGTTATGGCCGAAAAACCAGGCAAAATGCAGGTTTTGGCACTTTTTGGTAATGCGACGATAATTTGACGCAACTACTTGAAATTGTTCAAATCCGCAGGATGCATACTTCTGAATAACAACAGCAAAATTGGAGTATAATGGTTAAGTAGTTTTTTGAGAATTTCTAATTGTTTATCCAAAAACACCTGTTTTCCGGACATCACTACTAGCTTATTGAGCTATATACAGGATTAGTTCAAAGAGCATTTTACACTAATTTACCTTGCCGATATGAATTCCAAACCATTCCGAAAGATAAATGTTATTTTTATGCGAAAAACAAAGGTTACGTTTTTTTCTTCAAAGCAAATTCAAACATTTCGTATTTGTGAGTAATTTCGCAAATGCGCTACGATATTCGAAATACATACGTTACTATATACATTTTAAAACAAAGCGGATGTGTCTATCATCTTTTGTTGCGAGTTACCCACAAATACGAAATGTTTGAATTTATTTAGGAGAAAAACGTAACTCATCCTTTTTTTTGCATAAAAATAACATTTATCTTCCGGAATAGTAGACGATTCATATCGGCAAGATAAACTAGTGTATTTTGCTATAAAATGCCCTTTGAACTAACCCATGTATATTGCTCAAAAAAACTAGTAGTGATGGCCGGAAAACAGATGTCTTGGGATAAACAATTAGTAATTCTCACAAACTACTTGACCAATCTACTCCAATTTTGTTATGGTTATTTAGAAGTACCAATCCTACGAATTTGAAGAATTTGAAATATCTGCGAGAAACCGTCGTTGCATTACCAGCACGTGCCAAGACCTGCAGTTTGTCTCGGTTTTCGGCGTTAACTTTTTTGCTATTAGTCG